ACAGATGAATTAAATAGTGAGAATATTGTTACCCAAGCTGAAAATTTGACTAGGATAATGAATTAACCTGTTATCCAAACGGCTATGATGCTTTTAGCCTGGTTTAATAAATAAAAAACCAACCACACTCTACGTCACTGTCTAAATTGTCTGGCTCCCATTTATTTCTCTCCCTCCTGCAATAACTTTTGAGCTTCTTGGCCAATTTTAACCAAATTCAACAGACAAGTAGAGGTCTCAGAAATACTACATTCCTATAAACTTTCTGAAAATGAGACAGGAGAGAGAAGAAGAAACCCCATTTATGTCTCCACTGAGAGACTGCAATGGGCAAGAAGACCTTATTAGATATCAGAAAACCTGCATGAGAGAAAGACCCTGTAAATGTCTCTGTTATGGAAAATCTTCAGTCACTGCTCATTAAACATCTAAGACAATCAACTTTGAGAAATAAGTCCACCAGAAATCCAGCTTACTTAATTCCAAGTCATGAAAATAATTAAAAACTATAAGAGGTTGGGACCTGAGATTCGTTATCTCATGTAAAAGGCATTACTTTTCACAGGAAGGAATAAATCTCACAAGGCTATTCAAGCAAGAGGATCTTGCCCAGACAACTTTTCTGTGCCTTTTGACAGAGCCTTGGGTTTGTATGATACAATATATCCATTGCTTCCTTTCAGCTGTTCCTCCAAACTCTTTTCCCTTACCTTAAAATATACATTTTTGCATGAGTATTCTCAACATTAAGTATAGTCACACATATCTGTATAATTACAAACCTATTACAGTAAGGATGAATATTGTATCTTCATATTGTTACTAAAGCCTTATGATTATGAATAAAAACTAAAATATAACCTGCTTTTAACCACTAAGTTTTCAACCAGGAAAAGTTGCATGTTATTAGCAAAAGCGTAAAGGTTTAGAAAAGAGATTTTAAATGGTTCCCTCCAATGCTGGGCTTAATTTAGATCGTTTTATTTTTAATTTAACTCCACACAGTGATTCTTACCCTTTGATGGTATTCTAGGACCATTTGTTCTTCATTACGTAATGGAAAGGAGGTCTGCATCTAATATGTGAATATCACATTTATTTAGAAGATAAACGGACATTCATCTCAGCCAAAGTGGCATCAGTTGTGACTATGCATCACAACCAAAACTTCCAAAATCTTAACTGACTGCAAACTTTTAGAACTCTTTGGCACAGTTACTATAGTTCACTCATGTGGATTACTCATTTGGATGTGGCTATGTGGGCCAGAATTCATCTCACCAAACACAGATAACATCAGCCATACTTACCTAGGCCCCCTCCACAGACAATGGAGAGAGGCAGACACTTCTAGGACATGATTCATCTCCTTCTCAAGTAGGGAGAGATTTAAGATAGATATGGTGAAACCACCCATATCTCTATAAAAGGAGCCTAGCTGATTGGTGTTGATGCAGTCAAATCACATTCCTACACTTTGGCAATATCCTGTTTTAGGAACTTATGTGCTTATTCTGATGCATGATTAAATATGCAGTGTGAGCACCTGTTGGTGGAGAGACACCAAGCATCATCCAATAAATCATTTGATAATGAGTCAGTAACCCACTGATACCTAGTTAGTCATTTTCTTTCAGTCAGTGAAATTATCAAAGAGAAAATGTATTTGAATTCAAGGAGACTACAAACTTGTAAAAGGAGTTCTGAATACACATAGTTGGATGCTCCATATTAATTCAAGTACGTTTCAAAGAAGTTAGAAATGATTTTGATAACAGTTTCTGAGATAGAAGGTTATTATCACACCGTCAAGCCAAAAAGAAGTGTTCAGCAGAAGCATGGATCCATTCTTGACTAAATTTAACTTTCAGTATGATAGATAAACAGAAAAATTTAGAGCTACAAACATCAGAGATTTACTACTGCAAATCATATATTTATATAAGTACAGTAATATCTCTGTATAATCATATGATAGTGTAAAAGATCTAAAAAGTACTAAAAGTTAGCTTCTTAATATTACACAAGTGCAAGTTTAAACTTTGCAACTTAATACTGCATTTAATTGTAAAAACAAGCATATTTAAACTATCAGAATCTAAAATACTAATTGTATATAAAAGTGAACACTTAAATTTAGGTCCTAAAATGAATCACCTAAGCAGCAACATGATCCTCAAATCAGGACAGAATGAGCCTGAAATGTTGCCCAGAAAATCAGATGGGGGGGCAAGCTCAGTGCATCCATCTAATAAGTAAAGAACAAACAAAACCCAACTCAATTATTAATATGCTAATATTTTAATACAGTTATAAAAAGAAATTAAAAAAATTGTTACTTACTTTAGAGATCTGAAACAATGCGGACTTCTGAATAAACTACAATCAGTTTCTTCCCAAGAGAGAACTGTCTAACTTTTCCACTACTTTCAAATCTGAAGTGGAAGATATTTTAGGCCTGGCCAAATATCACTGGAAGAAAATTCGTTCACATGTTTGGCTATGTTTTGCATTCCATCCTGTTGCTTTGGCATACAGACGCAGCTAATTATAATCTGTGACATAAGCGGCCAATTCTACTGCTAAAATGGTTGTGTACTGACTCCAGAAATGAACTGCCCCACTGTAAGACATACCAATCCATAATGCATACGAAAATGGCCCAACCTGTCACGCCAACTGCTTTATTAAAATCTGAGGATACGCAGCACTTCATAGAATCTGCATGTAAAAACTATTAACATAGTTAGCTGCTAACAGCACACAATGCAAGACCAGAAACAAAAAAGACTTCTGCTTTCTTTTCTGAATCCATATGTAACATTCACCTGAATTTTAATAGTTGTTTTTCTGAAAATTTTTAATTGTAATGCTAACATTATTCTAACTATAATCTATATTGGCTATACATAATAGCACATATGACATTTTTATACAATAACCACACTAACAATTACCAACCTTTCCAAAAAGTTAAGCCATTCTTGGGATTTAAGGAAGATGCATATAAATACCAAGAGCTATAAAAAAAAGTTGCATATATTACATATTTTAAGATGATATTATAGAAATTATGAGACATCTTTTTTCAGTGCCATTTAAGCTTTGGGTTCTCAAATGCAGAAACAAGAATTCGAGCCCAACACTGCTTACATTAGACTGACTATACAAACAATGACCAACAGACTTTCTGTTCAACCTACGGTGCTGGTAGCTGTCTGCAATTTAAAAAGCATTAAAACACACATTTGTAAGATTTACAGAATAAAAGTTTTGTGCTATGTGAAGCATTGCAATCATCATCCATGTGTTTGGACAATTTCATTTCTCAAAGCACAATGTTTCCTTTTTTCAAGCCATGCACTCACACTGTTATCATGCTTTAGAAGATGAAGCTCCTATCAGACATTTAACAGCTGCAGATCATAAATTTAGTACTGACACAAATGCAACTAATCAGAGGCTTACAAGATACTTCTTTCCCTTTATGAATTCTGTGACCATTAATCCTTCATCAGACTGTTTACATGAACAAATGGAGAAGGTCTTTTCTACACAAAGGAATTAATTCACTGGTATCTGACAAAAATAATAAATATTTTTCATAATAAAATATTTATTGATATCTTTAAAACAACTTTTATATTTAATCTCATGGATTTATGAAAGATAAACTGGGACGAAAGCATTTGTATATTGTGTTAACAGCAAAGCTTTTCTTTAATTGAAATTCCCTGTAAGTATTAGAGGAATAAACCTATAAATGCCAGATAGTTTTGAGGGGTTCATTATTTAGTCATTATTTAGGTGATAGGGTATTCATGTCCAGGGATTTCCTGCAAAATTTTTTGTTTATTCTTGGAGAAAAGCAGAGATAAAACTGGATAGAAGACCCCCTAAACCCAACATTTTAACTTCATTTTAATGTTTCTTTTTGCCATATTTGTAATTATTTGATTTCTCAATTTATAAAGAAAGATTGACTAACATAGTGCCCAGCTACAGAAAGAGATTATATTAGATTATATTACATTATAGCATCGGGCTATGATTAATGGGATGAAATTTAACAAGTCCAAATGCTGGATCCTGCACCTAGGACAGAGTAATTCCAGACACAAGTATAAATTGGGAGAGGAGTGGCTGGAGAGCAGCCCTGCAGAAAGGGATCTGGGGGTGCTGGTCAGCAGCAGGCTCCACAGCTGTCAGCAGTGTGCCCTGGCAGCCAAGAGGGGAAACCCCACATGGGGTGCATTAAATAGAGCATACCCAGCCGGTCAAAAGAGGTGATTATCCTGCTGTATTCAGCATTGTTGTGGCCTCACCTTGAGTGCTGTGTGCAGTTCTGGGACCCACAATTTAAGAAGGATGTGAAGGTCCTTGAATGTGTCCAGAGGAAGGCAACAAAGCGGGTGGAAGGGCTGGAAGGAATGTCCTGTGAGGAGTGGCCAAGGACTTTGGGCTTGTCTAGTTTGGAGAAAAGGAGGCTGAGGGGCAACCTCATTGCTCTCCACAGCTTCCTGAGGAGGGGAAGTGGAGAGGGAGGTGCTGATCTCTTCTCCCTGGTATCCAGTGACAGGATGCATGGGAATGGTTCAAAGCTGTGCCAGGGGAGGCTTAGACTGGACATGAGGAAGCATTTCTTTACCAAGAGGGTGGTCAAACACTGGAACAGGCTTCCTAGAAAGGTGGTCGATGCCCCAAGCCTGTCAGTATTTAAGAGGCATTTGGACAATGCCCTTAATAACATGCTTGAACTTTTGGTCAGCCCTGAACCGATCAGGCAGTTGGATTTGATGGTCGTTGTAGGTCCCTTGCAACTGAAATATTCTATTCTATTCTATATCACCAAGTAGCCCTCTTTATGGACAGAACTTTTGTATTATTTTCCATGTCTGATTACTCTTCTTGTCTAGATTCATGATGTCTTTTGTCTACTCTTCTACCTATCTAATATCTGCAAAGTAAAATTTCTAAAAATGACAAGAACAAATAAATACCTCAGTTAGTATCTTCTGAAGTTCTCATGAAGTAGGACTGAAGCAAGAGCAACTGTCAGTGAGTTCTCAATCATCTGAAGGCAGCTGTCTTCCTATTTAAATGGAAAGAATGAAAAGAGAAAGGAAAAATTTTCATGAGTATGGGGAAAGAACAAAATATATTCCTGAATTGCCCTCCTGACTACTTTAACTGAAAACATCTTACAAGTGATGGGCCAAAATCCACTGAGATTAAAATTGTGGAACGCAAATGAAACACTGGACACCCAACGCCTGTTTGGACTGCAAATGTTCACGACAGCACAGTTTACAGTAAATGAGAAATAAATATTAGTCCAAAATCTATGTGAAAAATAATAAGATTTCTGTTGCAATGTTGAAATTCAATCTAGCATTAGAATGCATTAGTATAATGAACAATGACTTCAATTATGGGGTTTCATGCATCTGTGGAAAAACTAAGTCTTTCTCTCAGTCAAGTAATTATCGTCACAGTTCAAGAACGCTGATGTCCTGTTCCTCACCAAAACCTGGCAACCTCCTTTTCATCTGTATTTTGAAAGTCAATGACTGACGACTTAGTCCTGGAAAAGTAACTAAGCAAACATATTTATCTTCCACATTGAGTATGAGTCCACTCATACCAGCACTTGACTAACTAGAAGTACTTGCAAACTTATACCATGAGAAAACAGTGGAAAAAGATAAGTAAATTGTGGTTTGACTATTCTGCCATCAAAAGTTGTCAATTTTTTTTTAGAGCAAAAAATTAGAATTTTGACAAAAATTCTGTGTATACCTACAAGATTTCAAGAACATCTGCTTACCCCTCAAAGTACAAGACAACACAATGGTAGAGAAGACAATGACTATCGCATATCAGTTTAACTAATTCATCTAAAACAGACACAGAAGCCATTTGGTCCTATCTGTATCAACTTCTCTAACTTATTCAGATAATTTTCAAGTCTGTGACATGTTTGAAGAGTGTGATAAGGATTTGTTAAGCAAAGGGCATTTAGGGCAAAATAAGGATATTATAGCCTTTATAGAAAACAGAGTTTATCTTAGAAATAAAGTACTACACAAAAATTTTACAGTTAATAAGAAATTTTAGCTTTATTTTATTCTCCATGTTAGATTTTCTCTGATTATTTCTCAAAAGGCAGTATGTGTCCATAGAGGCTTATAAACTGCAGTCAGGAAATAGATTCTTAGATCGTCTGTGCAGTCAAAAGAGTATCTGGCTAGTACTGGAATCATGCTCTTACTTCATTTGCAGTATCTTTCTCTTTGTGGCCTAAAATTAGTCAGTGTCAGTCACACTCCCTCCTCAGAAAAAAAAACCAAGACACCCCGAGCCTCTTGTATCCCCAAAATTGCATTGCAAGAGATAGTTAATAATGAAGTTAACTAAGAATAGAAGTCCTCTACTGCTGAAAACTGTAATTATGTAGCAAACAGTAAATATAGCTAAAATTAGGCTGTGTAACTCCAGACGAAACAGAAATTTCACCATATGAAAAATTAAAAGATACCTTGATAAAGGTTCAGAAAGTTCAAGTAGTACAGCAAAAGCAATTTACATTAAGGATAAAATGGCACATACTTTGGAAAAAAAAGTAAAATTCACATGAAAATATATACCTATTAGAATTACCAAATGCAAAAAAAAAAAAAAAAAACCACATGCAAATATTTGTCTATTAGAATCACTAAATGCAAAACCCCAAACCAACCAAATGCTCAAGCAATTAAAGTGGGGGGTAATTTTATTAATGGTCAGAAAATATAAAAAGTAATTCGTTACTAGACATCTCTAGACTTCCAAGAACTGAGGGAAAATGTCCAAGTCTTCTCAATTCTTGTTCTTGTGTATGTTAGTCACTTGTGAGATTGAATAATGAAGCAACAGAAGAATCACCTTTTCAAAAAAGATTTTTTCCAGTTCTCCAGACTTCCCACTACTATTAGAGGCTCTAATATGATACGAAACAAGAACTGTTGGAAACATTTTTTTCTAATGTTTCCCTCCAAAGCATTTTGACTTAGCTATGTTTGATGTGCTTTTTAAATTTGTAAGGGATAGGACAGCAGGCCGTTTATTGATAGATTGAGACCTTGCTCCTTCCTAAGAATAGGGCTATGGTGAATATCTAGAAAGGGATGTCATCTTCTAAACCTGAGCAAAACAGTGAGCCAAAGGAGGACTCAATCTTCCACGTATAAATAGAAAGAAACATTTGAAAGTTACTGTTGCACCTATTAAAGCTATAAAAATGTAACTGTTTTAAATAGTTACTTAAAAAGGTGGAAAATACTCCCATAGGAACCTTTTGGAATATAAACACAGGACCCCCAAATATACAAGGCTTTAAGGGAGATCTGCCTAGACCATTTCATTACATGATATCTATGAGGAGATTCAAAACAGCTTTGAAACTCAGAATATTTATGTTTTATTAGAGTATGAACAAGAATAAACTAAAACAGAAAAATCTGAAAATGACTACGCAAGACAAGATAAAAATAAAAGGACTTATTTTATAAGTATCCAACTGCCCAGTGTGTCAGTGCACAGCAGGTCCTTGTGCCTGGTTTCTAGGAATTTTTTCCATTTGTGAGCATGAACAGCTGGCTGTGGGTCTACTGCCGGATCACCCCAGCAGTATTTCAATCTCTGCTTGTCTCCCAGTTCCTTGCTGCCACACTGCTCTTCTCTATCCCTTTTTTTTTTTGCCATTTTCTGTCACCTGGACTCTCCTCCCCAGCACGTTCAGTGGCTCCAGAACAGGAACCTTTTTGCACCTCCTGTTCACCTGCTCTACTCACTCTCTTTTCAAATTAACGTAGGCACAAAATGAATTTATATAAAACAGATTCAAACTGTCACAGAGGGCTAGTTAGGTTGTTTTTTTTTGGGGGGGGGGTGTTAAATGGTATCTTCTGCTTGGATTGCATCATCACACAATTTGATTAAAAACTATTTAATTTCTGTGGGTTTAATTCTGTATTATCCTTTAAAGACATTAAGTAGTGAGGCAGCAAGTGAAAAGCTGCATGTGTACTTTGTGCTCACTGCTTGTACTCTGTGCGAAGATGAGCCTGACAGGTGAACTGGAATAGATGTAACATGGGACAAATTGCTTTTCTAAGAGTAAACAAGCAAGCTCAGGTTTGTAGGCCCTTTCAAAGAGTCAAGTTGAGGAGGGAAAGACTAATTTGGAGGCTGCGGCTTGTGTGCAGACTGGAAGACACAATGGGGAGACCTTGCTACAGTAGTATCTTCAAGGCAGAAGATGTTGCCTAACTTAATACTAGGGAGAAAATAACCCACCAAACATTAAATGTCCAAGCAGATTTGGAATTATTTTGTCCTAGTGCATGGTAGGTACAATTCGGGCATTCTCCTAAGTATGAAATTCAACTACTCTTGTGGCTTGAAGAAGTCAATTGTTCGCTTTTTCTCAAGAAGAAAACCAGAAATGTATACTTTGGTTTATATGAAACTCTACAATATTCTGGACAGGAAAGTGGAGTAAAGCACTTTTTAATAGGTTCATTATTCTGTGCATTGGGATTTTTATTTTAGGATATGATTCACTGCGCACCTACTCACAGCTCCATCTGAAAGCACTGTGACAGGCAGAATAGTATATTTACAGTTGTATTCTGTACAGTATGTCAAATCACTTCTACAACAGATGTCAACAGCACTGACAATCAACAGAGAACCATGTTTCATGTTCCTTGGTCACAGCATTTCCTTTTACATCACTTGTCCTTTACTAAAAACAAAAGCAAAAACCCCAAATCCACTAAATGTCCAGAGCAGGATAGGCTAGTCTTCTGCCTTGTGATATCTGAACACTGAAGAATTCAAGTGAAACACATGGCTGTCACCCAGTATAGGTGGCTGTATAAAACAGAAAACTGAATGACTGTCCCTCCATGGTAGAATAGGTTTAACAGGTCTTGGAAGCTCTGCATCTGTGCCCATATTGGATAAAGGTTTGTACAGATACAAACCCTAAAGAATAAAATGAGTTTACCACTCTCTTTTGCTTTCTTCCTCTTTCTTTTATCTCCTTTCATTTTTCTTGTTTCCTTCCCTACTCACAGATATATCAGAAGTATAGCTGATCAAGAGATATAAAAGCCCCCCATTTTCTTTTATCATTAAACGTTATTTTTCAGTAACATAATATATATTTAATTCTGACATAATAAAGCAGGTGTATCTAATCTGCATTTGAAATAAAAGCATATAAAAGCATCTAAAACTCTGTTTAAATCCTGTGATTCAGTGTTTAATTCACTAGTTACAATAGCTTTTTCATTCAGCACCAGCATGCATCTTCCCAGAAAGAAGGGAAGCATGAGAGAAAAAGAAAGACTTAAGGCACACAAGAAAAATGTTTCCAGTTCCAAAAGATTTAGAAGAGGAGAAGTGGAAATATGAAAACTACAGTGATCTGGCCAGGACACCATAACAGGAACCATGGTCCCAGAGCTCATTCCCTGACAGACTCAATGCCCAGAAAGTTTTAGCGGATTGCAATTTTATATTTGGAGCAACTGACTATTAAATTATTTCCATAGGAGGAACCTACATTAGTTTAATTTTCTTAAAACTGCAGTCATCAATAACAGTGATAAAAAGATGGAACACTAGTTAAATATTTAAGAGAAAAGATATAGTGCTAATATAGTGCTCCTTCTCTGTTAAACAACTGGAAAAAGTTATTGTGGGATGGTCATACTGTAGACCAGCATGTATGCTCAAAGAGAGAGAATGAGTAAGATTGGCTGTTTAGCTAGTACAAATTAAATGAATACATTCTTAATTTGTTATGAGTCCTAAAGAGAATTTCCTTAATTTCTTTTGTTGCACAGGTTCAGCTTTCAAAATCTCAGAAGTACTTCCAAAAAACAAACTAAAATTTAAAAGCTAACAGAAGAAAATAAATAAAATTGAAGGAGGAGTTAACCCAAAGGTATGTTTTAGCTAATATGTAACGTGGTCATTTACCTAACTAAATCTTGCTCCAAGAGAAATGAGGATGTTAGCAATAATCTAGACAAAAAGAAG